CAGGCTGGTCTCAAACTCCTGACCTCAAGTGATTCTCCCACCTGAGCCTCCCAGAGTGCTAGGATTACAGGCTCAAGCAGCTGTGCCTAGCCCTCTACTATCTTTTTTTTTTTTTTTTTTTTTTTTGAGACATAGAGTCTCCTTCTGTTGCCCGGGCTAGAGTGCTGTGGTATCAGCCTAGCTCACAGCAACCTCAAATTCCTGGGCTCAAGCAATCCTCCTGCTTCAGCCTCCCAAATAGCTGGGACTACAGGTATGCACCACCATGCCCAACTAATTTTTTCTCTATATATTTTTAGTTGTCCAGCTAATTTCTTTCTATTATTTATTTATTTTTAGTAGAGATGGGGGTCTCACTCTTGCTCAGGCTGGTCTCCAGCTCCTGAGCTCAAACGATCCTCCCACCTGGGCCTCCCAGAGTGCTAGGATTACAGATATAAGCCTCCCTCTTCTATCTTTTGAAGACCCTCTTTCTCCTTTCTTTGGTCTCCCAGCCCAGATACTCAAACTTGGCTCTTCCTGGAGAATACCTGCTCCATCCCCTCTGTTCTGTCTCCCTTTCTCCTCATCTTAGCTTCTCTCAAGTCTTGTCCTAGGTTCTTTTCCAGTACCATTATTTCTCACTTTTTTATACTCTCGCTTTCCAGTGGGTGATAGATTATGGAGTTGTGGATTGAATTGTGTCTGCCCAAAAGATATGCTGAAGTCCTAGCCCCAGGTACCTATGTATGTGTCCTTATTTGGAAATAGAGTCTTTTCATCAAGTTTAAATGAGGTTGTGCTGGACTACAGTGAGCCCTACTCCAATCTGACCAATGTCCTTGTAAGAAGAGGGAAATTTGGACACAGAGACACAGGGGGGACATGTGAAAATGGAGACAGAGACTGGATTGATGCACTGACAGGCAGAGGAACACCAACGATTGCCAGCGAACACCAGAAGCTAAAAGAGGCAAGGAAGCATTTTTGTCTAGATCCTATGGAGAGAGGATGACTCTACTGACATCTTGATTTCAGAGCTCTAACTTCCAGAACTGCGAGAGAGTGTTTCTGTTGTTGGAAGCCATAATATGTTATAGCAGCCCCAGGAAACTAATGTAGGAGTTAAGGGTGTAGGGGGACAGGGAGTACCATAGAATGGTTATTATTTGTTGTAACCATTCTATCATATATTTTTTTGGATTTTATCTTTTCAAGATGGCTTTTATTAGCATATGTGCTTTGGGTTGAAAGATGAGTTTGAACATCTGTGTCATATTTGGGACATGGAAATATAATAAGACCTAATTCTAGAGATTTGAGGAGCAAATGGAACAATCTTCCTGAAGCCATTTAGTGAACTGTGACGTTCTGTAAACACGTTGGTAACACTATTATAATAATGGTGTGGGAAGAGCAGAAAACACCTTGGACTAGCGCTAGGCCACGCCCCCCTCGGAGCTGAGTGCCAAGTGTCACAAGGCGTAGTAGTTTTGCGGGTGTAGAGAACAGCTCCCCACTGGTGGGGGGGCATTTCAACACCCAAAGATGAGACCATCCCCTCCTTCCCGGTGTCCCGTGGTCCGTAATTTCCCACAGCCAAAACAGACTTGGGGCTAGTGTAAGAGATGTCGGGGATCAGGCTCTGTGAGCGCGAGTCATTCTCCAAAGCGGCGCCCCTCAAACACAGGACGGGGGAGGCGCCGGAGACACGAGCAGGAGCAGCCGAACCGCCTCGCACACGCTTGGCGAGGATGGGACGCGGAGTCTGGTGCACCAGCGCCGGAGGGGCCCTCCCACCCCGCAAGGCGCAGGGACGGGGACCCCATTCTACTTCCCGACTTGTTGCCTTTTCTGCGGTATCCACCTTCCCTCGCTGGATGACAGGGGTCGGGAGAGACGGCGGAACAGCGAGCGGTCCGGGTCGGGCGGTGGCTGGGCGGACCGCGGTCCGGACTGCGGTTCGGGTTCGCGTTGCCCACGGCAAGGCGGGGAGGTGGGAGGGCGCGGTCGGGACCCCTCTCTCCATCAGGGGCCGCAGCCCCCGCGGCGCGCAGCCCGGGAGCGCGGAGGCCCGGCCTGTCCTTCCTCCCTCCTTTTGCTCGAGAACCGTCCGTCCGCTGTCCAAGGCCGCACCCCCGCCCCGTCCGCAGACTGCAGCCGCCGCGCCCCGGCCCACCCACCAGGCCGGCGGCTCGCAAGCCCACCTCGCCAGCGCCGCCCGCCCGGCCAGCCCCGCCCCGCCCCGCGCCCCGCCCCGCGCCCGCCCGCGCCCCGCCCGCGCCACCGCGCCACCCACCCAGCCGGCGGCTCGCAGCCACTCGCAGCGCCGCCCCGCCCCGCGCCCGCCCGCGCCCGCGGCCCCGCCCGCCCCGCGCCCCGCCCACCCACCCAGCCGGCCGGCTCGCAGCCACTCGCCACGCCGCCCGCCCGCGCCCGCCCCGCGCCCCGCGCCCGCCCGCGCCCGCCCGACCCCACCAGCCGGGCTGGCTCGCAGGCCCACTCGCCAGGCGCGCCCCGCCCCGCGCCGCCCGCCCCCCCCCGCGCCCCGCCCCGACCCAGGCCGGCTCTCACGCACTCGCCAGCCCGCCCGCCCCGCGCCCCGCCCCGCCCCCAGCCGGCGGGCTCGCAGCCACTCCGCCAGCGCCGCCCCGCGCCGCGCCCCGCGCCGCCCACCCCAGCCGGCGCTCGCAGCACTCGAGCGCCCGCTCCGCCCCGCCCCGCCGCCCCGCGCCCGCCTCGCGCCCGCCGCGCCCACCCAGCCGGCGGCTCCAGCCACTGCGCCAGCGCCCGCCCCGCCCCCGCCCCGCCCGCGCCCGCCCCCGCCTTCGGCGCCGCCCACCCACGCCCAGCCCGCGGCTCGCAGCCCTCGCCAGCGCCGCCGCCCGCGCCCGCCCGCCCCAGCCCCGCGCCCCGCCCACCCACCCCAGCCGGCGGCTCGAGCCACTCCCAGCGCCGCCCCGCCCCGCCACCCACACCAGCCGGCGGGCTCGCAGCCCCACCTCGCCAGCGCGCCCGCCCCGCACCACCACCCAGGCCGGCGGCTCGCAGCTCTCGCCAGCGCCGCCCCGCCGCGCCCGCCCCGCGCCCGCCCCGCCCGCCCCGCGCCCCCCACCAGCCGGCGCTCGCAGCCACTCCCAGCCGCCCCCCGCCCCGGCGGCGCCCGGCCCCGCCCCCGCCGCGCCCGCCCCGCCTCACCAGCCGCGGTCGGCAGGCCACTCCGCCAGGCGCCCCCGCCGCGCCCCGCCCCGCCCCCGCCCCGCGCCCGCCACCCACCACCGGCGGCTCCACCACTCGCCAGCGCCGCCGCCCGCGCCCCGCCCCGCCCCCCGGCCCCGCGGCCCGCCCCACCCACCAGCGGCGGTCGCAGCCACTCGCCAGCGCCGCCCCGCCCGCCCCGCCGCCCCTGCCCGCCACCCAGCCCGGCGGCTCGCAGGCCACTGCCAGCGCGCCCCGCCCCGCCCCGCGCCCCGCCGCCACCCAGCGGCGGCTCGAGCCCACTCGGCAGCGGCCGCCCCCCCCGCGCCCGGCCCCCACCCAGCCGGCGGCCTCGGCAGGCACTCGCCAGGCGCCGCCCCGCCCCGCCCGCCCCGCGCCCCGCCCCGCCCACCCAGCGGCGGCTCGCAGCCACTCGCCAGCGCGCCCCGCCCCCGCGCCCGCCCCGCCCACCCAGCCGGCGGCTCCGCAGGCCACTCGCAGCGCGGCCCCCCCGGCCCGCCCACCCAGCCGGGAGCAGCGGCGCGTCGGAGGCCCGAGAGGGGCGGGGGATGGGTCGAGGGCGGGGATTTGCTGCCGCGTCCTCGCTCCGCCGCCCTGGAGGCGAGGAACGCAGAGAGGCCAGCGGGAGCGAGCCCCGGTCTCTCATCCTTCGTGGCCACGCGGCGCCGCCGATCGCTGGACGAGGCGGGAGGGGCGCAGGTTGGCCTCCAGAAGGCACACGCGGACAAGTCAGGGGCCTGTCGTTCCCGGGCAGGTGTGATCTGGGGAGGAGGTGCCTGCCCCTCCCATCCACACCTGCCGGCGACAGCTCTGGCAGCGGTCCCCAACCTTTTGGCAGAGAATGGGGAAACGGGTTTTTTGTTGGAAGACAGTTTTCCACAGACGCGGGGTGGGGACGCGGGGCCGGGACGCGGGGCCGGGAGACGCGGAGCGCAGGCGCGGTGCGAGGGGACGACGGACGACGGCGTTACAGAGGCTCCGCTCGCCTGGCTGGCGGCCGCGCGTCCCGCGGCGTGGCTGGGCTCCTAGGTTTCCTGGAACAGTTTTTCCATGGCGGGACGGGGGTGGGCGAGAGGGATGGGGGGTCGCTAGGTTCCTAACAGGCCACAGGCCAGTACTGGCCCCTACCCAGGGTTGGGGACGCAGATCTCTGGCACCTGAAGTCTCGCAAGAACAATAGATTGAGGCCGGCCGCGGTGGCTCACGCCTGTAACCCTAGCACTCTGGGAGGCCTAGGCGGCGGATTGCTGAGGTCAGGAGTTCAAAACCAGCCTGAGCAAGAGCGAGACCCCGCTCTACTATAAATAGAAAGAAATAATTGACCAACTAACATATATAGAAAAATTAGCCGGCATGGTGGCACGTGCCTGTAGTCCCAGCTACTCGGGAGGCTGAGGCAGGAGGATTGCTTGAGCCCAGGAGATTGAGGTTGCTGTGAGCTAGGCTGATGCCACGGATGCCACGGCACTCACTCTAGCCTGGGCAACAAAGTGAGACTCTGTCTCAAAAAAAAAAAAGAATAGATTGCATAGTCCCCTACCTCCATACCCTCTTACAGTCTCTCTAAACCCCTTCTCCCTTGCTTATTCCCTTCCATCTAGAGCAACCATTCTTTCCCACCTAACTCTGGTCAGGGAGGGTGGCTTGCCTGTTGGGAAGCTCTTGCTGCAGTCTAGTCTGCACCTCGCTCTGCCTGTCACTTCAGTGCGTTCCCGTCGGTGCTTTGGGCAGATAGAGCACTTTGACCACCTGGAGGTAGACCTGGACGTTGCCCCTTCAGTGTTTAGAGACAGGACTCCTACCTGGAGAGGGTGACTCAGGCTCTGGGGTTTTCTTCGTTTTAGGATTGTTATTCTGTAACCAGCACCTGGCAATTGGGAGACAAAAAGACAAAACCAATTTCCATATTGAGAACCAGAAACTATAAATTAAAAAACAAAAACAAGCACCCTGCCACATCAGTAAGAAGAGAGTGGTCCTCCGTGGGGACCATCTGCACTCACCGGGAAGTGGGCAAACCTTTAAGATTGTCTCAGTGACAGCAAGAGGGGGACTCTCTGCTGGCCGGCAGTGCTTCCTGGGGCCTGAGCTGTTGAACACCCAACAGAGCACAAGTCACGGAGCACAGCAGAGGCTCAGCCT